CACCGGGCAACCTGTTCTGCCCATTTCTCAGAACCGCTTTACTGGGGATCAGTTTTACTTTTTTCCATAACAGTTGTGGCATACAGCACTCTGTGTAATTTGTGTGTTTTCATGTGGAATTGTTGTCTCATTTCCCTAACAGCAGAGCTCTCTCATTTGTCCTTGGCTCTGCCCCATATGTCTGACACAGTGCCTGATTCACAGAGGGTACCCTATAAATATCTGTTGAATAAATGAGAGTGTAAATTCCTAGAGGTAAATAAGAGCAAACGTTCCAGGCACATGTAAATGCAAGTAACTCATGACACAAGAAATATAGGCAACGACCTTTTTCTCCTCCTGACGTTTTAGCACTGTTTTGATAAAAATGTTTGTTTAGTGCTGCCTAGTGACCACAACAGCACATGACATCGCATTGAGAGGGTTAAAGGCAGAGGTGCAGGGAAAGGGGATGCTGAGTTGTGGGGAGGAAGACCTCTGAGACTGCGGATCAGCATGACAAACGAAGCTGTTATATGCTTCAGGATTTAAGACTAGACAATGGCCAAAAGACAGTCTGATACCTGTTGCAAGACAATCTTTTCTTTAATCACATAAAAATTCAGAGGAAAGCATGCAAGTACCAATGCAAAAGTTTCCAGTGACTTTTTAGAAAGTTAAAAATCATTGAAGAGTATGTATACTATTTAAGAAAATTATTTTAGTTAGTGTAATAGGCAAGGAGCAATCTGAGGAGAAGTAGGAGGAAACAGAGAAGGAAACTACTATTCTCTCAAAGTTTGCCCCCTGTGACTGTCACTGTTGAGTCATTTTTTTTTTTTGACAGGCAGAGTTAGACAGCGAGAAAGGGAGAGATTGAGAGAAAGGTCTTCCTTTACCGTTGGTTCACCCTCCAATGGCCACTGTGGCCGGCACACTTTGCTGATCCAAAGCCAGGAGCCAGGTGCTTCCTCCTGGTCCCCTATGTGGGTGCAGGCCCCAAGCACCTGGGCCATCCTCCACTGCCTTCCCGGGGCACAGCAGAGAGCTGGACTGGAAGAGGAGCAACCGGGACAGAATCCGGCGCCCCGACTGGGACTAGAACCTGGTGTGCCGGCGCCGCAGGTGGAGGATTAGCCTATTGAGCTGTGGCGCCAGCCTTGTTGAGTCATTTTTGTAAGTCAAATAAGCAAGGACCAATTTTAGCAGTTATTTGTGATTTTTGAATACAGTTCAAATGTATTCAAAATAATGAAAAAAAGTCTTTCCATATAAAGGGAAGATTCACTGTGGGGGAGAATGATAATGATAAGGTATCTTTATTCAAATTTATTTGGTCTTTTATATGAGGGAATCTCAGGCATTTCAGTTATGCAGAAAAAGACTGCCCAAATTACAACTTATGTTTTATATTGATATATTTTAAATGAATAAAAATATTAGTAAAATATCTATATATATATATATATACATACGTGTTTTATTTTTGTTGATTGCTACTTGTGTCATTATCACTTGAGATGGACTTCTTGTGCTACAAATAAATTGTCTAGAGACTTCTTGTGATATAAATTGGGTTGTCCATTCTAATTCAGCCTCATGTAAGTATCGTTTTATTTTTTTGTTTAAGTTTTTTCTGTTTGTTTTGGTTGACTAGGAGACTGGGACATTAGAGACGATGAAATTGTGGAATTAATCAAGCTTGATCATAAAGAGCTTTTGTACTTGGCTAAGGCATTTAGACTTTATCCAAAGGCAATTGGGAGCCATGCAGAGTTTTAATTAGAGAAGTGACATGAAAAATGTTCATGATGTAAACTGAAATGCCTGTGATTTGAACACTAAATTGGATGAGAGGAGAGAATTAGGGAGAAAGGGAACAGTTTCAAAAACTTTTGCAGTAATTCAGGAGGTTAATGGTGACCAGCAGGGAGGTGGTAGATAACAGACTGAAGAAGCCCTGTGGCAGACAGATCAATGATACTACCTTCGGTATACTTGCCTGGGTGCTGAGGAGGGCATACAAGTGTCAGAGATGTCTCAAGACTGCCTTTTTTTTGGCAACTAAATAGAAATTAGTATGGTTCATTATAGTAGAGAACACAGGAGACAGAGGAGCAGATATGTCTTGGGGTCAGATAATGAATTTGGTTTTTATTTGTCACTACTAGAAAGCCCTAGAATGGACAGAACACTAGGGAACCCTTCCATTTTAGAAATAGACATGGTAAGAAGGCTCCATAAGGCAGCAAGTGGTAGTCAGAGGAAAAGAAGTGTGCCAGTAATGTGTTGTCGGAAAAGGCAAGATAGGAAATTTCAAGAGGAATGGATGGGCCGTAGTAACAGTTACCAGAGTCCCTTCAAGTGAGGACTCAAATGGGTAGATGGGGGTTAGTAACATGGAAGTCACTGGGGTTCATGGTATCTATAGTTTGTCTGGAACAATGAGCTTAGCAAGGAGTGGGAAGAGGAAACAAAGATTGACTATAATATTTTCTTTCTAAATCCGTTATGGGAATTTACATAAGAGTACTTTAGCCTAACATAAATTTTTAAAATTGAGATGAAAGTTGCATAATACAAATCTAACTAATTTAAAGTAAGCAGTCCAATGGCATTTAGTGCATTTGGGGTATTGTGCAACCACCTCCTCCATTTAGTTCCAAAACATTTTCTTCACACCAAAAGGGAACTCCAGGTCGTTTGAGCAGTTTCTCCTCCTTCCCCTCTTTTTTCAGCTCCTAGTAACTTCCAATCCATGTTCTGTCTGTATCGATTTCCCACTCTGGGTATATCATATAACTCGCATCATATAGTGTATGACATTTTGTGTCTGGTTTCTTTCACTTCACATGATTTTTTTGAAGTTCATCATGTAACATGTACCAGTACCTCGTTTTTTCTTGGTTGAATAGTAGTTTATTGGGTGGAAGTAGGACAATTTGTTTACTCATTCATCTGTTGATGATATTCAGGTGTTCTCACCTTTTGACTGTTGTGACTAGTGCTTCTGTGAACGTACACCTGGCTGAGTGTCTGGTTTCAATTTGGGGGGTATATATCTAGAAGTAGAATTGTTTGAAAAAGCATACTTTTTCAAAATTATACTTTTACCTGTTGCTAATTGAGAACCCATACCAAACATGGTACATTATACAAAAGGTAGACAATATAATCTACACTCTTCAAACACTTTATATTTTCTGTGAGATAGGATTTGTGAAATTACTATCCAGGACTAAATGGAAAATCAGTAGGTAAGTTTAGTATACACACACACACACACACATACACACATACATCCACACATACATGAGGATACATATGAAGGTATTTTAAATTTTTTTAAAATGGAATTAAAAGATAAGTTTATTTTAGAACAAAAAATGAAATCCATGCATAATTTTTCATAACATGCATGCCCATGAACTTTCTGAAAGCCCCATGTACATGTATGTGTGTGAATAACTATATATTCACTCAGTATGCACACATATATGTTATACATATATCCTTTTTAAGACAGAAGTACCCGTTAGGACTGAGTTTTGAATCTTATAAGATATTTCAGTTGAATGACTTGGGTAAATTGAATCACTTAGCAGAGAGATGGGCATAGGGATGATATCTCAGAGTTTAATTTTTTTGGAGAAGGATTGCAGGTTGCTCACCAGTTGGCAATACAGGAGAGAGACATAGAATGCAGAAATGATCGAAGAGCACCCATGGCTCTAATTTAATAGCTAGCCAGCTTTCAAAATTAGCATTGTATTGCAGAAACCATTTTATTCCTCGCCCTATGACCCCTGACTTACTTATGTTGAATCTTGTGGACTACTCAGAAATTTTTCTACTCAGAAATGCCAGTGTAGATGAAAGATTTGTTTTGCTTGGGAGAAATAGTTTAGCGTAGTGGCTCAGTTAAGCTTCATTCATAAAGCACAGATTAAGAAATTCTTAGGGGGCAGCATTGTGGCATGGTGGGTAAAGCCAACACCTGTGACACCAACATCCCATATGAATACCAGTTTGAGTCCCGGCTGCCACACTTCCAATCCAGCACCCTGCTGATGTGTCTGGAAAAGCATCAGAATATGGTCCAAATACTTGAGACCCTGCCACCCACATGGGAGACCCAGAAAAAGCTCTTGGCTCCTGGCTTCACCCTGACCCAGTCCTGTGTATTTGGCCATTTGGAGATGACCAGTGGATGGAAGATTTGTCTCTCTCTCCGTGAAACTCTGCCATTCAAATAAGCAAATACATCTTAAAGCAACAGTTCCTAGAAAGATGGGAGTGTGATTGTATTTCCTATGATAGTTTTGGCAACAGTCATTCTATGTCCTCAAATGTGTTATACTACCCCTCCAAACCTCCCCATGATCTGTCCTTTGTGGGAATTGATCATGAAGTTGAGATTCTGTTAGTTGTGGCTCTGTGATTTAATCAAGGCTCTGCCTTCAGATTTGAGAGAGTAAATAATATTTGTTGAGTGTCTGAGTGTTTTATTTATCTGAGTTCATCTGTGTCATAACAACCAGTAAGTGGTAGACCCATGATAGGGATGTGGATTTGCTGACAGAGTCAGGGCTCTGTCCACTGCATAAGGAGTACCAATGAGGTTTTACTTTATATTTTTATAGTTAACTGGAGTATTAGGATGAGAACAATGCCAGGATGCCTGTGGGCTCCACAAAAGTAGGGATCGTATGGGTTAGTTATATTTTCCATGAAACTATAAGGGGGTAGGGGCAGGCCCTATGTTTGCCATATGTTGACCATCCTTAATCTGTGTTATGTTATGGCTCATGGAGAGATTTGGGGTGAATTATCAAGAGAATATTAATTTCTCTCACAAACTATGTGTCTGGGATAGGCTTGTGGTTAATTAATGTTGATTCAGGGAGATGTTGTTTGAGTCTCTGTTATTTCATACAATCTCTAGTATGTGTTTATGATCTTATAAACTAGTTGCTAGGATTGATGCATTTATTATTGTTTGTGGACTGCATTTGTTTCAGGCAGAGAAAGCTGATGGATTTGTCAATCTGCCTGATTTCACCATAGAAAGAGCATCCGAATGCAAGAAAAAACAGTAAGTTGTCTCTCATCCTCCACAAAACTCTGAGCCAGGACACTCTCCATTTTAAATGTTCATAGAGAGATATGCAGATTTGGAAATGAGTAAAGGTAATATCCAGAAACCTGAGAATTTCGAGCATTATAGATTGGCAACCTAAGTGGTAATAGAAACATTTAACCACTCATTTCCTGCAATTTCATTTTGTGGAGCAGATGGATTTTAAAACCCTCATGAAACATTGGCATGGAATGTTGTTGATGGCTGTGTCTGTGAGGGAATAAAACACAAGCTCCCACCCAGAACTGGCAGGGGGGTCAGATGTCAAGGTTTTGTCCTTATAAAGAGAAGAAATGGATTAAACAGGACTCACCAGTTTCAGATATGATTGCATGACCAATTTCTCTTTCTTAGTTCACAGAATTGTTAATGGCACCCTTGGGATTTAATTCTTAGATGTCTTAAGCATGGAGATTATATTCTGGTATAATTGAAATCCAAGAGAATTGAGAACCAAGAGGAAGCAAATTCATGGTCCTTATACTGCTGAGAAGGAAACAGCCTACAGAGGGTAACCTTCCTAGTGCTTCCAGGGGAGCTGGCTCTGAACCCAGGCATCCAGACGCCCAGCCAAGTCCTCTATATATGATAGCCTCCTACTATGCTTTGCATATGAAACATTTTTCATTTGTTTTATCCCTTCTTCTACCTTTGACATTTTTTTCCCAATCTTATCAGAAAGGAGTATTTCCCTATTGCCTTTTTTTAAAAAAGATTTATTTTTATTTATTTGAAAGTCAGAGTTACACAAAGAGTGGAGAGGCAGAGAGAGAGAGACAGAGAGAGAGAGAGAGAAGTCTTTCATCCACTGGTTCATTCCCCAATTGGGTGCAAAGGCTGGAGCTCCGCCGATCCAAAGCTAGGAGCCAGGCGTTTCTTCCGGGTCTCCCACATGGGTGCATGGGCCCAAGGACTTGAGCCATCTTCCACTGCTTTCTCAGGCCATAGCAGAGAGCTGGATCAGAAGTAGAGCAGCTGGGTCTCGAACCAGCGCCCATATGGGATGCCAGCGCTTCAGGCCAGCGCATTAATCCGCTGCATCACAGCGCCAGACCTGTCCCTATCGACTTTTGTTACTAGTTGCCACAACTGATTGTTTTCTTCTAAGAAAATTAACAAACTGGAGTCAGCTTTTAGTTTTTGCCTCACCGAGCTGTATGTGTCCAGAGATGCACAGAGGTGTTGATCCTTATTGTTTTAACTGGTTGTTTAGGAAAACTTGGCTTGTACTGCAGACTTCCATTTTAAATAGTCAAGTATCAACACTTTGTCATCTTTAATATTTTATACTTTCCTTTAAACTAAACTCTACATTACATTTTTCCTTTACTAATAAAGAGTGCCTTGGATAACGTTTTTGATATGTTGTCACAGTGTGGAAGTTCCATTCCTGAATATACTCCTATAAACAAATTCTCCCTATAGGTAATTGAGCTTGAGTGCATACTTAGTGTGGACGAGCTGATCTCAATATGCTGAACTGGCGTATCTGTCACTCTAAATTTTTAATTTATTGTATCTTTATGGCAATGCAGTTAACAAGGATTTTCCATCTGTTTTCAATGAAAACTCTTGACTGGCTTTAACTTAGTCCTGCTTTAGATATTCTGACATGATAAACTGACCCTCAGTGCCTTATAAGAAATAAGGACTAAACAATAGCTATTTAAGGTGGCTAAGTTATTTTTTGTAAATTTACAAGAAAGGAGATGAATTTACAATGCTGGTATTTGACTCATTTACTTTCCGATCTGATACTGATTTCTAATCTGTTTGTGTTTTTCTCTTTTCAAGTGCATTTAGAATCAGCCATCCACAGATCAAGACTTTTTATTTTGCAGCTGAGAATTTGCAGGAAATGAATGTGTAAGTAGAGGAAATTGAAAAATCCAATTCTTTTGGGGAATAGATTTACTTTAGCCATGCAATGGAATTTTGAGCATTTTTTCATATCAATTGTTTTTTATTTATTCATTTTACTTTAAGGATTAAAATATTTAGCAACTAGAAAGTCTTCCTTTCTTTAGTATTTGGAAGCGTTTTGGAACACAGCATACATCAAGATAGCAATGTAGGAAGATTAGTTGTAAAATTCTTCAAAGTTGAGCAAAGAGTAGACAGAAATCATAAGACAACGTTAGAATGAGAATCAGCATCACAAGAAGAAAGACTTTCTTTTGTAATTGATCTTGTAGCTTTCAGAATGCTAAATGCAAAATACCTCTGTAGCATTTAACGTGAGCTGTGTGATTATCCTGGTGATTCAGGTATTAATCACCTCTCCAAATCTCATCCTGAACATTTTGCAAAATGCCCTTGCTGAGAGAGCATCTACCTTGAAATTTTACATCCCTATCATTTTCTGCTTGCTTGGACTATTTATGTTGAGGTCTGCCTACCCTGTGCCATCCACTCCTGATTAACATCACTAGTGTGGCCATAGTGGCTATTTTTGAATGAGGCTGAAGCTGAGGCCTTCAGGCATCAGAGGGCCTTTCATTTAATTTAAGCTTAATTCTTGGAGTTCTTAGTGTCTCTTTTTACCTTCACATAACAATTAGAATATGTTTATGGACCACTTACTCTGTGTCCCATTTTAGTAGATGTTGGACAGTAGTTAAAAAGACATACCTCTTCCAGTCATAAAGCTATAGATTAATCTATTTTATTTATGCATGATGATTTCCTTACCAGTCTACCCTATGCAATGTCCCTTTGGCCTCTTGTTTTAGCAGCTTAAAGAGAGAGAAACCAGCTGCTTTTTGCCAAACATACTCACACACACAGAAGTTCTTACAGGACATCCCGGCAGCTAGAAGCAAGCTTATCCGTCCTCTGTGCTTATCTCCTCACGCATCTGCTCTGGCAGGGCACAAAGTTGGGAAACACTGAGTTAGACATAACCAGGCAAGGAATTGACAACTGAGCCTTCCACACACGTCTTTGACTTACTTAGAATTGTTCCTGTGATATTTCTGATGTTAACATGTTCCTTAGGCTTTCGCCAGCATTTGAGACATTTGAGAACAGTTAGAGTAGACACAGCAAAAAGACTTGAAATGCTTCACAGAGTCTTAACTTATTTGCATGGGTCACTGAATCCTGCTGATGAGCAAACCGTTGCCGGTGTAGGTGGTGTGTGGGGAGGTGTGAGGCCCTGCCCAACAGCACTGGGAGCCCTGTGATGCTGAGTGTCACATACAGCTGAGCTATCAGGGAAGCCCCATGAGCCTTTCCCCTGCTTCTCCCACTAGCTACACCTTGTGACCCCATACCACACTCCCTTCCCATCACCATCCTCCACACCCCTCCTGGAGCTGATCCTTTCACAGTAGTTCTCAACAGCAAGCAGGGAGTGAGACTGAGAATACCAGACAATTAATGGTTCCTAAGTGTTTTGTTACTAGTGAACACTCTGCTCACACAGTAAAATGCATTTTTAAACCAGTGAAATTGTGAGAGACCCTTCCATGGGTCTCGGCTGCTCCTGCCCCCTGCTGCTGCAGCCCCCATCTCTGGAGGTTTTGTTTGCATTTCCAGACCACTTATCTTCAGTTCTCCCTTCACAGGTACTTTCTAATGGCGAGTATAGTGGCCTGAGTATTAGCTCTAGATATTACATACTGACTGTATCCTGTGGTTGCATTTTCAAAGTCAAGATCTCATTGCCTGTGTATGCTGTTATGCTTAAATTTGTTAATTTTCACTTGAAATTCTGTTAGTCTTATATTTCTGGTCTACAAACAAGGATGTGAATTGAAATTTGAACTTCAAGCATTTTGACCCCCAGGTTTCCCATGTTTTTAAATCTCTCAGTGAACTTTCCACCAGAAAGTTTCCTGGCAGCTCCTTCATAGGTAAATGGTTCATTGGTCTACATGCCTGAGTATAACATAATTTTCTATAATTTTATTACCAGTTTTGAAATTTTGCATTGTGAAGATGATTTTTCTAATAGCCAACATGGTAGAGTTCTCTTGGCTGCCAGATTAACTTTTTCACTTTCCCATACATTATGTGGATGAGATTTATATTTTGCAGTTACACCTGAAGATCTTCCTTTCTTAGTGATATGGTCTGTTAAAGAAGCAAGTGATCCATCTATGAATTCCTTGTTGAGATGTAGTAGTGTAAGGGGAGAGAGTGTGGCATTTTGTGTGATGAGTTTAATACCTGCCTCTGGCTACAGATGCCAGACTTGGAGGCGGCTGGTGATGGCTCAAGTAATTGGTTCCCTGCCACCCACATGGGAGTCCGATTAAGTTTCTGTTTTGTGGCTTTCATTTCAGCCTGACCATGGCCCAGCCCTGGCCATTGAGGGCATTTAGGGGTGAACCAGCTGATGGGAGCATTGTGTCTTTCTCTCTCTCAAACTTTTTTTAAGTACAGGGATAGTAATTAAGGGTAATGAAAGAGTTTCTAAGCAAAGTCTGGGGATAGCTGCCTTTCTCAGACGTTGTTTGTGGGAAGAATGCTCTTGTTTTGTACATTTATGTCTTAACACTTGTATCTCTCCAACACACACCTTCAGATCAAGTTAATATACAACAAACTCCCAGGAAACATCTGTCATCTTCTTTTCTATAAATATAAGTTCTCTCGTGCATCCGTCCATTTAGCCACAAATAGAAGTTTTCCTGCAGTCATGATGTCTAAAAAAGAAGGTCTTAGCAAAAAAGGTGCTCTAAACCAGTGACTCCTAGAAGGAAAGCATTCAAATAAGAGTCTGAGCAATCGTTTTTTTTCATAGCACGTGATAATGGTGGCAAAAGAAAAAAACAAGGGGGCTCGAGTGTGGATAAGGGCTGAGAGGAAACTTTGTTATTGTCAATATTCTTCCATTTTTCTTTAATTCTGTGTTGGGGAAATAAACTTAGAATTGGCCTTATTTCAGGCATTTCTTTTTTTAAAATATTTATTTATTTATTCGAATGGAAGAGTTGCAGAGAGGCAGAGGCAGAGAGAGAGAGAGAGAGAGAGAGAGAGAGAAAGGTCTTCTACCTGCTGGTTCATTCCCTAAAAATGGCCACAATGGTTGGAGCTGAACTGATCTGAAACCAGGAGCCAGGAGCCTCCTCTGGATCTCTCACATGGGTTCAGGGGCTCAAGGACTTGGGGCATCCTCTACTGCTTTCCCAGGCCATAGCAGAGAGTTGGATTGGAAGTGGAGCAGCCAGGACTTGAACTGGCACTCATATGGGATGACAGCACTGCAGGTGGTGGCTTTACTCACTATGCCACAGAGCTGGTCCCATCAGGCATTCTTAATTCAAAAATTTTTTTGTCTACATTTTGTTTTTTAATTTTGGATATTGTCCATTTCACTCTCAGATGCTTTCTTAAGGGTGGGGGTGGCATATTTGATTATGAAAGCAGGCAAATGCTAAAAATTGCTATTTTTAAAAGTAAAGTATTAAATTGAATATGTTTGCCTAATCAGTGTTTTAAAATGTACCTGTAAATGTTTCTTTGAGTTAAATAATACATGAAACATATTCTTATAAGACTGTTAAATAAAATGGAAGTAGAAAACAAGAAAACTTCCCACACCCCAGCCCTCCCCTTCCAAGTTAACTTCTTGTAGAAATTACCACTTTTAGCAGTGTGGTGTATATCCTTCATGAGACTTTACAATGAAGTCAATTCATGCACACACACCACTCTACAGTTTGTTTGTTTTTGACAGGCAGAGTGGACAGTGAAAGAGAGAGAGAGACAGAGAGAAAGGTCTTCCTTTTTCCGTTGGTTCACCCTCCAATGGCTGCTGTGGCTGGCGCGCTGTGGCCAGCACACCGCGCTGATCTAAAGCCAGGAGCCAGGTGCTTCTCCTGGTCTTCCATGTAGGTGCAAGGCCAAGGACTTGGGCCATCCTCCACTGCACTCCCGGGGCACAGCAGAGAGCTGGCCTGGAAGAGGAGCAACCGGGACAGAATCCGGCGTCCCGACTGGGACTAGAACCCGGTGTGCCGGTGCCGCAAGGCGGAGGATTAGCCTGTTGAGCCCCAGCGCCAGCCAACTCTACAGTTTTAGAAGTACATTAGAACAAAGCAAACACAATGTTCTATATTACTGTCTAGTGAACAGTAATTTGTTACAAATTTTCTACATCATTACAAAGTATCTTTCCATCTTAAACCTTTTATTGGCTTCTTTGTTACACAGTATCAATAGAATCAGTGTCAAAATTTATTTATCCATTTTTTAAATTAATGGATAATTATATTTTCTCATTTTTTTTCTTTTTCATTTTGTCATTCCCAGCCTGTTGGCACTTAACATTCTCCCACTTTATTTATGTACATGAAGATGTGTTTTAAACGATAGAATTTACAATTTTAATTGTTGGGTGAAAGGGATGGGTATTTAAATTTTTAATAACAGTATGAATTACCTGCTCAAAATTGGCTATACTTATTTTCATGTTCAACTCCACAAAGGATATGAATGCCCATTTTCTATTTCCTTGTAGGTACCAAAAATTAATATTTTTTGAAGATTTATTTATTTAAATGAAAGGCAGAGTTAGAGGGAAGAATGGGGGAGACACACTCACACACACACAAACACAAGAAGAGAGAGAGAGAGTTCACTTCTCAATTGACCATAATAGCCAAGGCTGGGCCAGGCTGAGGACAGGAGCCAGAAACTCTGTCCAGGTCTCCTTTGTGTGTAGTAGGGGTCCAACCACTTGGGCCATCTTCCACTGCTTTCCTATACACATTAGCAGAAAGTCAGATAGAACGTGGAGCAGCCAGACTCAACCAGTGCTCTTACAGGATGCCATTATTGTGGGTGGTGGCTAAACTTGCTGTACCACAGTATCAACCCCAACAATATTTTAAATTTTTGCCAGTCTAGTGGAGAAAAATTGTTTCCTGTGTTTAAACATGCATTCCCCAAGATGCTATTGAGGCTAAGGATATTTTCAGTGTGTTTATTAGCAATTGTATTTGTGTGTATGTGTTTGATTTTCTGTTTCTTTGTTTTGTCTGTTATTTTACCAGGACTTGAAAAACACTTTTGGGTTCCTGGGCCCTGGTACTTCTTAAATAGTCATTAGAGAACTCATGTTTGTCATGGTGGTTAAGAGACTTTCTTAAAGGAGACTGTGGTTCACCCTCCTTCTTGGAGAGATTTTTATTTTGTTTAATTTTAAAAATCAAATACATTTTGTCTGTAAAAAATAATGGGCACAGCAAAACACTGGCATGTTGAAGGTTGGATAGGATTGCTGAATCATTGACAATTGTAGACTTGGGAATGTGCAATACTTACATCATTATGTCAGCGTTGCATGCCAGAGTTCATGTGATGTGGCAGAACCTGAAGAAATGAAAGTATAAATGAATTGACAAAAATGTATAATATTATTGTTGATTTATTTGGCTACTATTAAATGCTCAAAAAAAAAAAAAAAAAAGAGAAAAGAATGCACAATATGGAGTATTTAAAAAGCTACAGAAAACTATAAATAAGTGGGAAATAAATCACCTAGATTTTTAACACCTCAAAACAACACTTTACCTTTTTTAAAATTAAGATTTATTTATTTATTTGAAAGAGTTACATAGAGAGAGAAGGAGAGGCAGAGAGAGAAAGAGGTCTTCCATCTGCTGGTTCACTCCCCAATTGGCCATAACGGCCAGAGCTGCCCCGATCCGAAGCCAGGAGGCAGGAGCTTCTTCTGGTTCTCCCACACAGGTGCAGGGGCACAAGAATTTGGGCTGTGTTTTACTGCTTTCCCAGGCCATAACAGAGAGCTGGCTAGGAAGTAGAGCAGCTGGGACTTGAACTGGCACCCATATGGGATGCCGGCACTGCAGGTGGCGGCTTTACCCGCTACACCACAGTGCCAGCCTCAACACTTTACCTTTAAGTAACTTTAAAGACTACTTAGTTTTAAGTAATTAAAAGATTGAATATATAGCTAGGGATCATGATAGATAAAATTATGCATTATTTTTTAAAACTGTATTTTAAAAAATGTGTTCCAAACTAAGCCTTTGTAAAGGAACTACACTAGTAAAAAGACCAAGCCAGGTTTAAATTCCTCAATGTTTATCTAGTTCAATTTTTCTTATTGATACTTAACTTAAATTCATTTTCAATAAAATGGTACATCAACAAAGGCAAGACATAGTCAATTTTTATTTTACCTAAAATTCTTCAAAGAATTAAAAATTCCCCTTCTTAAGGAAGACCTAGTTAAAGAAGATCTAGCCAGATCTTTTTCATATTGGCATAAAAATATTCCTAGTAATTAAACAGATGGTCTTTGTTTTTCTGAAATAAACTATCATTATTAAAAATTTGTGGCCCAGCAGTGAAAATGCTATTTGGGATGTCTGCATCTCATTTCAGAGTGCCTGGGTTCAAGTCCTGGTTCTGCGTCAGGTTCTAGCTTCCTCCTGATGCACACCCTGGGAAACAGAAGGCAATGGTTCAGATCCTTGGGTCCCTGATGCCCATGTGGGAAATGCTGATTGAGTTCAGGGCTCCTGGCTTTGGCCCAACCCTAGCTGCTGCAGACATCTGGGGACTGAACCAAGAGTGGAAGATTTCTTTATTTGTCTTTGTCTTTGTCTTTGTCTCACTCCCTGTCTTTCTGTCTTTCAAATTAAAAATAAACAGGTTTAAAAAAGAATTAGAGTGATGGAAATTCAATTGCCAAGTTATTAGATTATTTGATAAAGGTTTTGATGGTTGCTAAAATCTCAAATGCAGAGTTACAGAAGATATGTTTGTTCAGATGTTTCAGATAGCTGCTTTGACATCCACACTAACCCAGTGAATAATGTGCCATCTCACTTGGACAGGCTATCCTGAGTAAGGAGGGCCTTTATTAAGTTAAACCAGAGACCTTAGGTTTTGATGCCACAAACTTATGCTGTTTTGGGAAATGTTCAGACTGACAGATTTATGACTTTATCTCATTACAAATTCTGCACAAGACACTCCTTCAGGGTCTATGGGAAGGGTGACTAGATAGGGGCCAATCTCTTTAGTCAGATATTTACATTCTATTTGAATTTTAGGTGGTTAAATAAACTTGGATTAGCCGTAATCCATCGTGAATCTACTACAAAGGATGAAGGTATGTTCTATTTTAAATTTCCGAAAATTTAGTAAGAATATTAGAACAGATGAAAAAACAATGTCAAGTTCTATATATAGTCTGATCCCAATGAAACATATTTTGACATTTAAAATTATCTGAAAATATGTAGAGACAGACATATTCACACAGTCCCACCAACACAGAATAGAGTTTCCCAGACTGGGTATGGCTGATTTTCTGATTTCACACTACACCCACACTTCAGCAGCTGTTGGCTTCACTGATAATCTCAAACAATTGCCAATGCAAATGTTTTATTGCCCTGCTTGCCGAACTCTTACTCACAGACATGAACTTGTCATGATCTAATTAGACAACTTTCTTCCCACTGTTTCCTCTCTGAGAGTTTAACATTTCCACCAGGTGTTTGCCAAGACTAATTACCCCAAGACTGGGGTGAGAACCTGAAGGTCAGATGGGGGCACAGGCCATATTTTTAGCTCAGTTTGGCTTTCAGGGTTCAAATGCTACAGGAATGTAGTTCTTAATGATGCACTTGCTCTTTAGCATTGAGAAGAGAAAGTCTTAAGTTGCCAGGGTCACTGACTTGAAATTATCTCCAAAATGCTCAGGCTATGTAAGTCTCAAAAATTGGAAGTGAGGAGTCATATATTTTGATAACAAAGTCATAAGATCATAAATTTAGAAAAAGAAACTGGTAACTTGATGTAAAACAATAAAGGGTTGTGTCAAAATACTATGAAATCTTCTTGTCCTCTCTTTTGTGAAATATGTTCCTATTGTGTATTTGCAGATGTTAGGGATAGGGAACTATACAACTGCTCCTTATTCTGGTATTTAAGGTCCACCCATGGTAAGGTCTTATTGACCCCTCTGCTTCGTTTTCTACCTTTTCCATCAGGGCTCTCCATACGTGTGGCTCTGCATGCTCCTGGACCCAGTGCTCCCTTCCTTCTTTGTGTATGTAGATGGCTCAGTTATCTGCCAAGTGTCAGCTCATTATGTTTCCTAGGTTCAAAATTAATCACTACTGCTTTTATACTCTTTTAGTGTATGACTCACACTGCCTTTGAGTACGTATTGTGTTTCCCTGAGCTATGGTTGGTCCCTCTTCCTGCACATAGAGGCTCTGAGGTGGCCATTTATTTCTCCTTATGCAATTCATTTCCTTGCACCAGATTGTTCACTAGATACACACTTTCTAAACTAGACTGAAATTGGAATAACCAGATGGAGGCAAACCTCTGCTCATGTATTATGGAATAAGTGATAACAGCATTAAACATTAGGAATTTCCATTTTTGTTATAGAATGTTACAGTGAAAGTGAACAGGAGGATCCTGAAATAGCTGTGGAGTCACCGCCCCCTCCTTACTCTGCGGAGGCCCCCTCTCCTCTGGTAGGTACCAGTGTAAGTACTCTGTGGTCACTGACCACATGGGTGGCAGTCATTTCCCCCATGAAGGTAGACACAACACTGACTGACACATTTTTAGAATAGGATAAATTAAGGTGCCTTCCGAAGAGCAATGGCAGTTCTCACGGTGCTGACTTTTGAGCCTTCTCCCGAAGAGCCCACTGGGATGACAAATTCAGCGTGTCTGTGTGTGACCTGCGGATGTATCATGCTCAGAGGATTCATGGGAATGCAAAGGGCTTCTAGGTGGTAGGCCACGGCTTGCAGAGGCTTGTCTTATAATGTTTATTTGTAACCTACTAGTCTTCAGAAAGAATTTAAAGTGCCTTACCTAGGTGCATGTATTATAAATGCAAAATGAATTTAAAGGAGATGAAAAAATAGCATAAAAAGGAGAGGCAGAAAGAAGGGAAGCCAGGAAGGAGGATAATGCATTAAAATTGCATATGGAGGGGCTGCCACTGTGGCACAGTGGCACTGTGCCACTGCCTGCAACACCAGCATCCCATGTGAACACTGGTTTGAGTCTTGGTTGCTCGACTTCCAATCCAGCTTCTTGCTAATGTGCCCAGGAGGCCGCATATTATGGCCCAAGTGCTTGGGCCCCTGCCGCCCATGTGATGTGGGAGATCCAGATGGAGTTCCTGGCTTCCGGTTTCAGCCTGCTCTAGCCCTGTGTTGTTGCTGCTATTTGGGAAGTAAACCAGCAGCTGGAAGATCTCTCAGTCTCTGTCTCTCCATCTTGTAATGTAACTCTGCCTTTCAAATAAATAAATATATCTTTAACAATTGCATATAGAATGATGTTTATATGTTCACTAGAGAGTTGTCTAAATTTTATCTGAGCTTTGTAAGCACCCAGTGGAAGGTCAGGTTGCTAATGGGTATTCAGACTTTGGAGATTTGCTTCATGTTTGGGTGCTCTTTAACCTTACAGTGACGACCTCTGGAAAAGGAATCACAAACCCTATTGGGGAAGTAGATTTATGGCTTTTACATCCCATGTGTGCCAGGACTTCAGGAAGGTACTTGAAATATACAATCATTTAATTCTCAAATAGCCTTGAAAAGTGGTATTATTTAATTTGGATTTTACTGATTACTAATAAGGACACACATCTTTGCATATTTATTGCCATTTGTGTTTTTTGTTTTATGAAGCATCTGTTAGGTCTTTTGTACATTTTTAGCTGCTGTTTCTGTCTCCCCCTCCTCTTCCTCTTTTTCTTTTTGATTTATGGCTCAGTCGGTTAGTGCACAGTATTTATACAGTAGTACATGGAGAAGATTTCTTTGTTATTCAGTATGTTCATCCTTTTCAGCTAAATGTGAGCAAATCTTATTCCCCCCTCCCTTTTTTAACCCTGTCATGGCTTCTCTTTGTAAACAGATGTTCTTGATTTTCGTATTTCATCCTTGTCCAGCACTTTCATTGTGGTTAATTCCATTTTTCCGAGTTTAAAAAAACGTTGCCTATCCCCAGGAAGTCACTGTACTGTCTTCAATGTGTGTTTGAGAAGAGTGAGGTTGAGAGATGTTGAATGGCACGGGCAAGCACCCAGCAAGCGTGAGATGAGGGTCCAGCCCATGTAGCTTTCCAGCGTATGGTCTCGCCACTGTAACATGACACTTAGCCATCTGAAGGCTAACTGACAACTGAGTCTGACAGGTTTGTGGTAGCTTGTTCACCTGCCAGACCCATTCTGCCAGAATTTCTATTCTCTGTGTTAAAATTTTCTCCTTGTTTGTGTTTTGCCAGTTCCTGAATTTAAGGTGTAAATTGTCACTGTTCTAATTTATTAGGCTAACAACCAAGACAAGGAACAAGTATTTGTCAGTTAAATATGTTACTAAAAATCTGTATGTAAAAATGATTAACCAAAATTAAAATTAGGATACATATAAAAATTTTAAAGTTTAAAATTGTAAAATTTATACCAGTTTTTAAACTTTTTTTTACTAATATGAAGAGAACAAGTTTTGTGTATTTCAAAAGTTCAACTCTAAGACCATAAGGATACTTCATTCCCTCCCTCCCTTACTTTCTTTTTCTTTTAATTTTTGCAATAACATAATTTCAATTTACTTTATATAACAGGCTTAATATTCCACTAAATATAATATTCAATAAGTTAATAATAAAAGACTACTGTTCCACAGGTATATAGCCAAGGGTTATAAATGATACTCAAATCATAAGATGTCAATTTTATTCTTAAATATTCAGTTTTTTATGCTCTCTATATTAGCTACCATGAATCAGAGAAAACATGATATGATACTACAAGACTCATTTTTGTGTGTCCTTCTTAATATAACTTTTCCCTCAATGCAATCTTTTCTTTAAAATCAGTTTTGTGAATTTAGAAAAAACTTTTATTTTCTCCATATCACCCATACTTAATGAAATTTCTGAGATATCATTATCTTGAAGTGATTCCCAGCTTTTAACAGCTTCTTGCTGGATTGCCCTTTCTTGCTGCTGAAGAAGCCATTGCCTTTGTGTGGAATATGTCTTCAGTAGCTGTTCCTGTTGTTGATTTCATAGACTCATGTGTGTTTTCTAAGTTTCTGTCTCTGTTTCTTTCCTTCTGCCTCTGTGTCTCTATTTCATTGTCTCTTCCCCTATGTGTGTCTTCCTGTCTGTCTTCCCCATTTTAACCTGTAACACACAAGGAATTGATAGATCCTCTCTCCATCTCGTCCAGAAATTCCCTCTCCCTGTGACTGCCAACATAATTCTTTTTTCCTGATTTATTTTGGCTCTAAAATACTGTAACTTTCAGTTTTATAATAGGAAGCTACTATCACAGATTACTGAGAGGATTGTCAGGCATCTAGAACTCTACTTGGTAAAAATAAAGCAACCAGATTGTCTTCTGAAATGAGAGGTCTTGGCTCGACTGCATGATGTAATGACAGTAGCTTGATGTTACAGTGGAAGTTCAGGGACTACTTGCTTCAAAACAGATAAATGAGTGGACGTTTAGGTGACCAGTGAGTTAAGTAACAACTCAGAAGATTCTTTAGAATGTTCTGAATCATCATTCAAATGTTATTTTTGAAGATTTAAGTTGATCATTTTTTGTAGGCCACCAAGGCTAATGTTTTCTGAAGAGATATATTGGAAAATAGTCAAGTTTTTAATGGGTAGTTTTTTTCCTTAGCAACAGAATATGTTCCTTCTGCTCATACATTTTCCAGGTAGATTTTGTTTTTCTTTTCTCTTGTTTCTAAAAAAACAGACTTACAAGGCACTTGGCTAGGATAATATTTAAGCTTTTTATTTTAACAAATGAAACTAAGAAATCATAGTAACTTTTACCCAGTGTATGAATCAAGTTATTATTTAACTCAATATAATACAGACTAGCTGTGAATTAGATATAGACACCTAGGGGAAAAATAATCCCCCCTGCCAAGTTCTTGCTTTGGAAAATCATTATGGAAAATGAACTTTCATTTCATGATGAGAAACTCTGTAGTATGAATAATAGTATTCTGGAACATTATGTCTAAGCATGTAAACTTGAAAAAGACATAATCCAGTGTCCATTTGTTCCAACTGTTAATGAGTGAAGAGAAGCAGTGAAACCTCATTACCAGTCCAGTTTGGAGTTTGAGTCTAAGGGGCTGAACCACATTCCACAGGAGAACAAAGAACACCTCTGAGTCTTGTCTGAGTGAGGAGGTTTTGTTTTTATTCTCTCTTTTGAAGAGGCTTCATAGGATTGTGAGAAAGTCATCCATTTGTTTTGAAGGAAATTAGAAATGTGGAGCTTATGACAAGCTTATTCAAAAGGCTTAAAATAGCTGGAAGTTTCACTTTGAAAGATAATTTATAGAAATTACTGTCCATGGCTCCTAGATGTTCACAACAGAGCAGAAAAGGAGCCATCTTCAGCCACATTTCAAACCCAGTATTTTTCTAAGTTAATTTTTTAAGTCAAATATTAGTTAGCTTCAAAATTCATTTTTTTAAACAGTTCTCTTTTTTTCTTATTGGAAAGGTGAAAGGGAGTGAGAGGGAGAAGGAGAGGTGGAGAGTGAGAGAGAGAGAGAGAGAGAGAGAGAGAAATCTTTATTCCACTGGTTCATTCTCCCAATGACTTTCAACAGCCAGGACTGGGCCATGTCGATTATCAGGAGCTTCACTGGGTCTCCCACATGGGTGGCAGGGGCACATTTGCAGGGAGTTGGATGAGAAATGGTGCAGCCAGGACTTGAACTAGCACCCATATGGGAAGCCGGCACTGCAAGTGGCGGCTAAAGCCACTGTGCCACAGCACCGGCCCCCAAAATTCACTTGCTGACAATTGGGCCCTGATTTAAGAACCATCAAGGTCACTAATATATGCTCCATGTATTTTCACTCTATGTTTAATTTTAGAAACATTTTGTGATGACCCGCTGTATGGTTCCAAGCTTATTCATTCATTAACAAGTGTTGAGAGCCACACTTCTTAATGCTCGGGACACATCAGTGATTCATGTTCTTCAGGAGCTGAGTTTGAGAGAGATTGGTCATAAACAATCAACAAAAGTAAAACATCTGCTCCATCAGTAGACAGAAAGCAGGGTAAGTGAGAGAGATTAGGAGTGCTGGGTAGACATGCAGTTGAACAATGAATAGCAGATAGAATGCATCCATTGAGAGCTCAGGTCTGAATACAAAGGTGAGAATCAGCCAGGCTGCTATTTGGGGAAGGATTTCTTAAACCAAGGGGATAGAATCCAAGTCTCCTTGGTGCCTTGTGATGCAAGGAAGCCAGTGTAGTTGCAGCCAAGATGAGAGCACAGTAGTAGGAGATAAAGTCAGATTTGGTGGTAGCCGTACTCTGTGGGTTGTGTGGTCCAGTTCAGGACTTTAGCATTCTGGGGAATTTGAGTGGACTTTGGAAGGTTTGTGCCGCAGAATGATGTGACCAGTTTCTACTGTAGTGGTACTGCTCAGGCTGCTGTGTGGCAGAGGCCCTAGGAGTTAGGGGGTAAGTAGGGAAGCAGAACAAACTCAGGGAAGATTGCTCTAATCTGTGGTGAGAGATGGTGGTGATCCCATGTGCTGTTAGCAGTAGGGTAGTTGATAAATGGAATGGTTGGATTTTAGTTACACTTGAAAGATAGACCACCAATAGGTGGACCAAATCTGAGATTAACAAAGTACATAAATACTTGCAAACCAAGCTTCAGGCAGATAATTTTAACATGATAATTCTCACATTTTGATGCCTTTCAGTACAATCTCTTTATATACCAATGATGAAAACAAACCAGCTAGAGCAACCTAAAGAGGCAATACATAAAAATAAATCCTGCAAACTCTGGCCTGTTGTCTGGTGACACCAGAGGAAGTTGAAGATTAAACACAGAAGGGGGAAATTAATTTTAGAAGTTTAAATTTAATCTTAATGGTGGATGTGGAAGAGATGTCTTTTCAAGGTCACTTGATCTTTCAGTGTATTACTATACTGGACAATAGAAATGCTCAAAAGTGGGTATTTGCAGGTAAATGTTACCAGTGACTGGTACAAAGTTAGAAAGAAAAATTCACCCTTTCTCCTTAAGATGGGAAAATCATAAGATCTATGGTTGGTTGCTGGTGCCGCGGCTCACTAGGCTAATCCTCCACCTTGCGGTTGCCGGCGCCGCAAGGCGGAGGATTAGCCTAGTGAGCTGTGGCGCCGGCACACCGGGTTCTAGTCCCAGTCGGGGCGCCGGATTCTGTCCCGGTTGCCCCTCTTCCAGGCCAGCTCTTTGCTGTGGCCAGGGAGTGCAGTAGAGGATGGCCCAAGTGCTTGGGCCCTGCACCCCATGGGAGACCAGGATAAGTACCTGGCTCCTACCATCGGATCAGTGTGGTGCGCCGGCTGCAGTACGCCGGCCGCGGCGGCCATTGGAGGGTGAACCAATGGCAAAAGGAAGACCTTTCTCTCTGTCTCTCTCTCACTGTCCCCTCTGCCTGTCAAAAAAAAAAAAAAAAAAAAAAAGATCTATGGTTGGACATTCACTTATGACTTTCCTAGGATACCCCTTTGTATACTTACCTCTTGCTTTAACAGTTGATCCTCTCAGTCCATGCTTCAGGGAGTCAGTAGCAAAGATGGTGGCTATCCTGTGCCTCTTTTGCCTTCCTTCCCTACTGCCTTGGGTGAAGCCCTCATTAGCTTTTGCCTGAGTTACTTAAGCAGAAGGCTATTTTTCTTTCTCTGTCTCTAGTTTCTCCTTCTTAAAAATCACCTCCAAATTAGTTTTCCCAAAGTGCAGTTCTGATAATATTGATTCACCTGCATAAAACCTTTCTGTGAATGCTTGTTGCCTATCAGATTAATTCTAGACTCTTTGCTTTGGTATTTAAAGTCCTGGGACTTTCTGTGGACTGCCATGGCAATCTGTTGGTGACGCTTCCTTTGCCATCAGCCCAAGATATTGCCTGCTGTTTCTCGAAAGTTTTACCAACTTTCCTGCTCCTGCACCTTCACCATACTATATGGCATGTACCTTGACATGCAGGGCCCAATTGTAGGAAAGTGAATTTTGGGGGCTGGTGCTGTGGCACAGTGGCTTTAGCCGCCACTTGCAGTGCCGGCTTCCCATATGGGTGCTAGTTCAAGTCCTGGCTGCACCATTTCTCATCCAACTGCCTACAAATGTGCCCCTGCCACCCATGTGGGAGACCCAGTGAAGCTCCTGATAATCGACGTGGCCCAGTCCTGGCTGTTGAAAGTCATTGGGAGAATGAACCAGTGGAATAAAGATTTCTCTCTCTCTCTCTCCCCCTCTCTCTCTCCTTCTCCCTCTCTCTCCTTCTCCCTTTCACCTTTCCAATAAAAAAAAAAAAGAGAACTGCTTAAAAAATGAATTTTGAAGCTAACTAACATTTGAATTAAAGCTTCTTCAATTAAAAAAAACTACACAAAACTGGAAAATCATTATTAATTTCTTTAACCTTTCAGAATCTCTTAATAAAGTGTTATCTCACCTGGTATTGCAGAAGTAAGCCTGGAAGCACCCAGCCAAGGCCCCTTTAAGGCCCTGAGGCTATCACAGAAGGCTTCCTGGAGGAGCTGGCATCTGATCTGACGCATGAAAGATGAACAAGCATATTAGCCAAGCAGAGGTGGAATGGAGGGAGTCGTTCCTTTCTGCTTTCATTTGATTTGCTGTGGGGAATTCAGTTACATTGCATGGTTGGTCCACCAAAGGCACTGAGCTTGACAATGGCTGGTAGATGAAGAGTATGAGAAATAATGAGCTATCAAGAACACATGTTTCTGCATTGAGTTCTTTGAAATGGAAGTTCAGGTTCACTTTGGTTTGTATTTTGTCAGTCTCTCTTTCAATGAAAATGCCTTTCAACGCTCATTCTGTTTTCCATTTTCCTTCCCTTGCCTTTCCAGATCTTCTTCCTTTTTTTCTTTTTCTTTTTTGCTAACTTTTCACTTTAAAATTAACTTTATAATTATTACATGGTAGGAAGAGAAAAACAGACCGAGATCACCAAACAGAAATACACTTACAGATACTTCTGATGTTCATTTAACAAGTCTTCCTCAGTCTTTTGAGCAGATTTTGAGGTTCAGGAAACCTTACAGAAAGTGCTGCAACAACAGTGCACACAGTCTTCCTCAAATAGCCTGTTGTGCTACCAAATAAAAGTTGTATTAGCAAGAGCAACAGGAAAAACGTGTGATTGGTCTCTTTCCAAAAAAGGCAGCTGATCACAGAGAGGCTGAGTTTTTACTAAAATAGCTCACAATAGGTGAGCGTGCAGAGAGTGGGCTAGCATGGGTATTTTTATTAATATTTATTTGTAGATTCTGCTAATGAATAGATTCTTCCTGACATTTGTTTCAACAGTCTAGGGGTTGTGTATTACCTCTTTCAGGAAGCCAGATCTTTATTTAGTGAATTACAGATGTTGGATCTCTTAGTTTTTAGATAATCTGAATGATTAAAGGTAACCAGTTCCCAAGCTACTTCACACATTCCTGAATGAAATATTTCATTTCTGTGCCAATGTATTGTTATTGCTAAATGTGTGTGTGATCGATTAGTTTGTTAACTAGATATTTTAATGTTATGCTCCTTAAAAGTGGATTTAATGAGGTAAACCTTTGCCAGAGAGGGATAGAGGCTAGTGAAGGCATCCGTGTCTCACACTGGAGTGCCTGGGTTCCACATCTACCTATGGCTCCTGATTTCAGCTTCCTACTAATGGAGGACCCTGAGAGGCGTAGGTGATGGCTTAAGTAACTGGGTTACTGCTACACATGTGTGAGAACTGGATTGAGTTCTGGCTTCTACCTTTGCACTTTCCCCTATCACAGCTGTTGTGGTCATCTGGTGAGTGAACTAGGAGATAGAATCTCTCTCTCTTGCTCTATTTCAAGTAAATAACATTTTAAAAAATGAAATTTATTGCTTATTTGACTATCCATGTCTAGTATTCAACTTATTGGAAACACATTGGGGAAATACTATCTTTTTGACATCAAAACTCAGAACTAGGAATCATCTTGGGGCAGTATTGATTTGAAGCAAATGTAACCATTTTGTGTTAGTTTGCAATGATTTTAAGGATTTTGGGGAGGATTCCAGTTTTCTCTTTGGCATCCTCTGGATAACCATCTCTTTCCTGACACTTGTTTGGAATTTTGAACGAATGATTGACCAGAGTATCTGATAAAGAGATCATGTAATAAAATGTCTTTCTGTCTTATCTGTCATTGACAGTAGTACGGGGATCCAGGGAGCAATGGAATTGAGATGTTTAGATTTTACTGACTAATAAAATTAAAAGTGGAAAAGCAACACAGAGTTGCTGAATCTTTATTTTTCTATGTAGGACATTTTTTTAAAGGAAACTCCTAAAAGACAAAGGCTCTCATATAAACCATCATCATTTTTCAAAAAGAAGGCATGCATATCAAGATCAAAGCCTAACAAGGATACAGTTTCAGAATAAATGAAGTCTTTCCCAGGAGAGTATCCTTGTTGGTGTTACTGTATTGATATTTTCTCTGTGAACTGGTGTCCTAAGTATTGTCATTTGCCCTTGGGGTATGTTAGAAGATCTGACATATCAATCCACTTCTCATTGCCTGTGGAGGAGCTTTTGTTCTCGCATTATGATAGAAAGCTGCAAATATATATTTCCTTCTATGGCAAAGCTTCATTAAAGTTTTAAAATTATTGAGTGGATGAGTAAAGATGATTTCAGTCAACCTGTGTAGTTATGAGCCAATCCTGGGCACATGCTGGGGATATTGAGCAATATTTAAGGGTTTACATATGAGGGGGCTTCCAACATGAGTGGGAAATGTGATGTGTTTTATAATTCCATTTCCCACACATGTTTGGAAGCCCCTCAACATATGATTTACCCATTCTCTGATCACCACTCCGTTAACATGATTTTGCTTCCTGTCTGGATCTAATTTTCTTTTCATTCTCTTAGTCAGCCCTTGGGCTCATGAGTTTTTGCTCCATCCATGTGAATTCCAACACAGATTGCGAATTAATTTTTTGCTCAAATTAGCTTCAGTGGCCTAAAAATTTTCCCAAAGAGGTCCTCTAAGTTTCTGGGGAGCACTAAAGAGTAAGATAAATCATGATAAGCAGTGATATAGTGATATAACAGTGAATTCGAAGTTAAACAAATCTGTTTTAGAAAAGGACAGCCTATATGACTGTCACATGGAAATTAACATCATATATTTATCTTTTGGGTATTTTTTTTGTTTTTCACCTTTTGAAGCAGCACTTGGGGTACCTTTATTTAAACAGTAGAGAATAACAGTTTTAAATGATGATTTCTTTTATTCTTTTTTGGTCTTACTTGTGAAAAATAGGGTGCACAGCAGGCGTCTTCATCCTCACCCAAACTGAGTGGAACAACATGCTCTTTCTCTTCCCTGGAAAATACGGTAAAGATGCCCAGCAGTTCTTCTTCTTCTGTATCTAAAGAAAGACAGTCCTGGCTTGACATCGTTAACAGTTCACCTGCTGATGAAGATGTGGGACACTCCATAGCATTCGCCGTGCACGTTCATTCACCTGCACCCTCAGAGGTAAACAGTTGTAAGGCCCTGGAAAACAGCTCTCTCACATCAGAAAGTGGATTTTTGAACTCTTTGTCTAGTGATGACACGTCTTCATTGAGTAGCAACCAAGACCATCTTGCTGTCCCAGACAAACCTACTGAATCCAGGATGATGGACAGAGGTAAGCCAAGAAATTGTTTGCTCTTCTTTAGAGGATGAACATGAGTGGTGTGTTTATGGAACTCTATTGTGAATTTGTATTAAGAATGCTTAGTCTTATAAAAGGTGATTCACTAATCAGTCAATCAAGCAAGGCTAAACCCAGGTTTTTGCTTTTGTAGAGGAGTTTGCATGGGGAGAACCCAAATGCCAAACCATTAATTACTTGCCATAAATGTCCAAATACTTTAAAACTATGAGATGTATGGTCACAAAATAATAGTACTTTTCCACCTGTCTGAGAAAAAAGATTTCTTTTTTTATTCCATATCCCATACTCTGTAGTTTGCATTGGTTAAATCAGAGTTTGGAGTCTGGTATTCATAACATCATCACGATGTTTTCAAATGAGTTAAGAGCATTGGCATGTCCATAGACAGCATTTGATTCCTAACCAGCAGGCTCCTATGTTTGCTTGTGTAGTTCATAAAAAGACAAAGTTACATTTTGGACTGTATTTCTAACTTTAAATATAAAGGAAAACACAGATTATGCATTTGAAAAACACTGTAAGTCTTAACAAAGGAGAGTTAATGGTGTGTAGAAATTAGTATGGAAGAGGAGAGGCACCAAGGTGGTGGAATATGGAGGGAGCTTACTGCTCTAGTCTAGGGGAAGATAGTTAAAAAAAAAAAAAAAAAAACATGGAGAGAGTGCAACATCAGAGAAGAGTTAGGGAGAAAATGGCAGAGGAATCCCCACGTAAATTAAAGGGACCCTGAAGACCTACTTGGAGGGTGTGGATGTGCACAACTCAGGACCCCATCAGCTGAGAGCCTCAGCATCAGCTTTGGAGAGTGAAGTGAGACCAGATTCAGAAGCCCAAGCCACTAGCAGCAAAGCTGCGGGAAGAGCCTGGCATGTATCTGGCTTGGAGCCTTGTAGGGGACAGTATACCTCCCAACCTAGAGTAAAATAAAGGAGACATGTTTCTCTCTCCTTGACCACCCAGCACGTGTGTCCTGTAACTAGCTGACAATGAGCAGGCACTATCTAGGACATATGTAAGAGCTGGGCCAGCTCATGTCCCCATACCCAGCAACTAGTCAAGAGGAGACACCTGAGTCTGGCTTGTAGAACTGATAGAGGGCTAGGTGCTTGTGACTGTGGGAACCTTATGTGCTGGGACTCTGAAAACACTATGGCTGTGTGGGAGGGCACAGAGTGGGGCTGGATTTTTAGGCAGACACTGTGGGCAGCTCCACATGCTTGGAGCTCCTTGATTCCTGGTGAGGGTCATTGTTGCAGGATCTGTGCTCAAACCAAGGAGCGGATGGATCCTTTATGTAGTTCTTGTGGCAGCATGGATGAATATTGTACCCACTAGGGCTAGTGTCCAGGCGCCGGTCTCCGTGAAGGAGAGGAGGTGAGCATGATACTATGCAATAGAGCTGAACAAACCTCCCCTGTGATAAAAAAAATGAAAAGAGAGAAATTTACCACACCCAATTTGGGAGTCACCTTGGACACTCCTCTTAGCCTGTTTCACTGAATAAGCTCTCTAGCCACACCTAGCATACACATAAGGGTATTCACTGAAGGGGCAGACACTCCACTAATCCACAGAGGCATAGTCCAAAGATAAAAGCCAACACAGGGGAAAAAAAATTAAACCAACAAGTATCTCCACAAATGCCTAAAAATAAATGCAGCAATTCAAGAAATAAGAATAAGGAAGACAACATGACATCCCCAAAGGAACATAACAACACTTCTATTCTAGAATGTGAAAATTAAGACATTGAAGAAATGCCAGAAATGGAATTCAAAAAAAAAAAAAAAGATGTATGATTACTTAGAAGTAATTAGAAGCAAATCCACAAACTAAAGAAATCTATACATGACATGAAAGAAAAATTTTCTCATGAAATTGAAATTATAAAAAAATCAAAATATTGGAAATGAAGAATTCAATAGAAAAAAACAAAAAATGGGGTAGAAAGCCTCAACAACAGAATTGATGAGGCAGCAGAAAGGATATCTGAATTAGAATACAAATATCTGAAAAATTTACAGTCAGACCAAAAAAAAAAAAAAAAAAAGATGAAATTAGAAAACTAAAAAACAGTGTTGGAGCTCTATGGGATACAATCAAATGATCCAAAATATGGATCTTAAGAGTTCCTGAAGGCGTGGAAAGAGAATGGATTAGAAGTCCTTTTTAGTGAAATGATTACGGAAAACTTCTCTAATTTGGAGAAAGAAAGTAATGTCCAAGGAGCACATAGAACTCCTAATAGACATGGCAAGAAAAGATCTTCACCACAACGCATTGTGGTCAAACTCCCCACAGTAAAACATAAAAAAAGGATTCTTTTTATTTATTTATTTATTTTTTATTTTATTTTTTGACAGGCAGAGTGGACAGTGAGAGAGACAGAGAGAAAGGTCTTCCTTTGTCGTTGGTTCACCCTCCAGTGGCCGCCACGGCCGGCGCACCGCGCTGATCCGATGGCAGGAGCCAGGTGCTTCTCCTGGTCTCCCATGGGGTGCAGGGCCCAAGCACTTGGGCCATCCTCCACTGCACTCCTTGGCCACAGCAGAGAGCTGGCCTGGAAGAGGGGCAACCGGGACAGAATCCGGCGCCCTGACTGGGACTAGAACCTGGTGTGCCGGCGCCGCAAGGCGGAAGATTAGCCTAGTGAGCCATGGCGCCGGCCCAAAAAAGGATTCTAAAATGTACATGAGAGAAATTCTAGATTATTTTCAGAGGATCTCTAATTGGAATCAGAGCTTACTTCTCATCAGAAACCCTACAGGCTAGGAGAGAATGGTGAGATATATTTCAAGTCTTAAGAGAAAAAAACTGCCAACCCAGAATACTTTATCCTGCAAAGTTCTCTTTTATGAATGAAGGTGAAAGACAGACATTCCGTAGGCCAGCGCCGCAGCTCAATAGGCTATTCTTACGCCTGCAGTGCCGGCACACTGGGTTCTAGTCCCGGTTGGGGTGCTGGATTCTGTCCCGGTTGCCCCTCTTCCAGGCCAGCTCTCTGCTGTGGCCAGGGAATGCAGTGGAGGATGGCCCAAGTCCTTGGACCCTGCACCCACATGGGAGACCAGGAGAAGCACCTGGCTCCTGGCTTCAGATCAGCGCGGTGCGCTGGCTGCAGCGGCCATTGGAGGGTGAACCAATGGTAAAGGAAGACCTTTCTCCCTGTCTGTCTCTCTCACTGTCCACTCTGCCTGTAAAAAACAAAAACAAAAACCTTCCATAACAAACAGAAATTGAAAGAATTTTTCACCACTCCTCCAGCCTTACAAAAGGATGCTTAAGGATGCGCTACACAGAGAAACACAGAAACATGGTCATCACTTTGAAAGAAGATGAAGGCAGAAAATCTCCCAGTAAAAATAAAAAGGAAATACAAAGTAAACAATAGGCATATTTATGGAAAAATGATAGGGCCAATTCATTATTTATCAATAGTCTTCTTGAATGTAAATGGCCTCAACTCTCTAGTTAAAAGATACAGACTGACTGATGGAAAAAAAAAAGCATCTATTTGTTGCCTGCAAGAAACATATCTCACCAACAAAGATGCATGCACACAGACTGAAAGTGAAGGGATATAAAAAGATATTCCATGCTAACAGAAACCAAAAAAGAGCAGGTGTAGCCATCTTAATATCAGAGAAAATAGAATTTAACATAAAAAACTGTTAAACAGAAAAAGGAGTGCACTATGCAATGATTAAGAGATCACTTCAATGGGAAGATGTGACTATAATAAATGTATAAGTACCTAATTACAGGGTACCTGGCTATTTTTTAAAAAGTTAATGGATCTAAAGAGAGACATAGACTCCCATAGTGGGGCACTTCCATACCACTTTCATCAAAGGACAGATCCACCAGACAGAAAATCAGCAAGGAAACAATAGAGTTAATTGACACCATAGAACAAATGCACCTAATGGATATCTACAGAACTTTTCATCCTGAAGTTGCAGGATACATATTCTTCTCACCAGTTCATGGACTTTCCTCTAGGATAGACCACATGCTACGCCATAAATCAAATCTCAGCAAATTCAAAAAAATTGAAATCATACCATGCATCATCTCTGACCACAATGAAATGAAGTTGGAAATCAACAACTCAAGAATCTGTAGAACTTGTGCAAACACATGGAGACTGAACAATATGCTCCCAAATGAATAGTGTGTCATAGAAGAAATCAAAAGAGAAATAAAAAAGTGTTGAGTAATTGTTATTTTCATATTATTTTTTGAACTCTTTACTTAGTACAGAGTTAATCTTCTGTGTATAAAGTTGATTGAAAATAGGTTTTAGTAAAAAATAATAGTGGGAATAGGAGAGGGAAGAGGAAGAAGGGTAGGAGTGGGGATGGGTACGGTGGGACGAATCACTATTACTGTGTTCCTAAAGTTGTATTTATGAAATGCATAAAATTTGTATGCCTTTAAAAGAGGTTTTTGGGGCTGGCACTGTGGCATAGCAGGTAAAGCTGCTGTCTGCAGTTCTGGCATCCCATATGGGCACCAAGTCAGATCTAGGCTGCTCCACTTCCAATCCAGCTCTCTGTTACAGCCAGAGAAGCAGTAAAATATGGCCTAAGTGCTTGGGCCCCCTGCACCTGCATAGGAGACCTGGAAGAAGCTCCTGGCTCCTGGCTTCAGATCGGTGCAGCTCTGGCCGTTGCAGCCAATTGGGGAGTGAACCAGTGGATGGAAGACCTCTCTCTCTCTCTTTGCTTCTGCTTTTCTCTCTGTGTAACTCTGACTTTCAAATAAATAAATAAATAATTTTAAAAAAGAGGTTTCCAGGGGGAGGAGTAATATATCTTCAAAAACTTCATGGAAAATGCATGTTGTGAAAAATCTATGCATTTATTTCAAATTTTTTTTGCACCATGCATGGCATTTAGCCTAGCAATTAAAACATTGGTTAAGAAACCTACATCCCACATCAGAGTACCTGCATTTGATTCCCAGTT